CTTTGTGCTATTGCAAGTTCCAAGCAAGAAATTAACAGTTATTTACTAAGAACAAGACAGACTCGTCACGCGCGCCCTGTAATTCATGACGCCAAGTTTCTATTAAACTTAATTTTTATTAGTTTTTTCATAATAGTCGAGTGGCGTATTCTTCATTTAGTGTTTTCCTGTGGTTTATAGCCAAGAAAAACACGTGTAGGATGAGAAGAAACTGATAAGAATTTCATTATATTTTATGTTCGAAAAACTCCACCTGGTGGTCATAGAGGATTGGGTTTTATCATGCTTAAAGTATTTTGATTGTATTCTTTCCAAAGAAATCCTGACCGAGAGTACCATACATAAACTTTGCTCATTTTATCACCGCACTTTTCGGTATAGTGCTTTTTCAAACAACTTAATGTAAACAGTTAAACTTATTATTATTATTATGTAAGTTTACATTCTAATTATTGTATAAACTGTACTGAAATGGAGTTACATTAACTCTCAAATCATCGACTACTTTTCATACCTTTCACTACGGTAGGGTCCACATATTGTTGAGTAATAGTGCTTTTGCCTAACACTCAATGTAACACAAGGGTAGAAGTATTAGCTGAAATCAATTATTTTTTTGTCAAATATCTCGGAACCCAGCAGCAATTAGTATATTTAACTCATTAATGATGATATTTTTGTTCACATTTTTTGTGTAGCTCGTATTATTTTTAGGAAATTTGTAACCAATAGTCAAACAGTTTGGTACACAAGTAGTGTTTTTAAAACTGGATTGATTCTGGACTCCATCTGTATTGCTAGGACTAACAAAACTCTGCACTGTTCTATCCTTAAACAGAAGGTTTGACTTTCTTTTATAAAAGTTGCCTTTTCAACTTCTTTGTTTTATTATATTTTTGTTTCTTTTTTTTTTTGGGATACTAACTATAAGAAGCCTTTGTGTTGTTTGTTTTTTTCGTACTGATTGTAACAACAATGAATGTTTTTTTCTTGTTTTTTGACAGCACGAAATGAATTGTTATTCTACTGAATTTTAATATCCTGGTGCAAGTACATTTGAATTTTCGAAGAACCATCATTTAAATACAGAAATAAAACAAAATCTTGGTTTATATCTCTGTTTAAGAGCGATATCTGTTTGTTCTAAAGTTCAACTTTTCTTGAACACATACAGTTTATTATGATTGCACTGGGCATGTTTTGAGTTTACCTAATTAACGTAGCTGACTAGAAAGTCAGAACTACTGCTATAAAAAAACTTAACAAGATATTCTGCATCTTTACAAGTATAATAAGGATACGACAATTAAAGCCGGGGATAAATGACTGAAGGTATAATTAGCTAACAAGTTACAAAAAGAACTGGCTTTCTATGTCTCAAACTAACAACGTTGCATTACTTCAGAATTATTAAAGAAAAGAATAATTGAATTAAAAAATATTTAAAAGACGTTCACACAGCTGAAGCAATCTTAAGAAACGTAAGTGGTATTTAAGGATGTGATGTTGAAGAAAATGATACTCGCCATCCCCTCAGTTATATGGTGAGTTACTATTGTCAACGGCAAATATAAATAACGTTCTTGAACTATGTTCTTCGGTCACTTAACGCAGCTCAAAGTGATATACATATGAACGAATTTAAAACAATTTTCCTAACTTCAAAATTACCAGATAATTAGCTTCTACTTGACTTTGGATAAATGTGACTCAGAATATTCAGTACATTTATACCTTAAAACATTACGTTTTATTCACAATAGTCGGATTATTGTGTATCTGATATATTCAACAGATACTTTTGTAGTGTATAGGTAAAACACTAATCTGATATATTCATTAGATACTTTTCTAGTGTATAGGTAAAACACTAATCTGATATATTCATTAGATACTTTTGTAGTGTATAGGTAAAACACTAATCTGATATATTCATTAGATACTTTTCTAGTGTATAGGTAAAACACTAATCTGATATATTCATTAGATACTTTTCTAGTGTATAGGTAAAATACTAATCTGATATATTCATTAGATACTTTTCTAGTGTATAGGTAAAATACTAATCTGATATATTCATTAGATACTTTTGTAGTGTTTAGGTAAAATACTAATCTGATATATTCATTAGATACTTTTGTAGTGTTTAGGTAAAATACTAATCTTATATACTCATTAGATACTTTTGTGTTGTATACATAAAATACTAATCTTATATGCTCATTAGATACTTTTGTGTTGTATACATAAAATACTAATCTGATGTGCCATATCAAAATCAAGTAGCAGCCGAAATTTTGATCAATTTGTTACTTTTTTTATATCAAATAAACCGTTCAATATCACTTTCCTAAAATAGTAAGCAATAAAGTTGAAGATCGGATACGTTAATAATTTTATATCCCATTTAAAATAAGTACAATTTTCAGTATTTCTGAGAAATGTACAAGTTATATATGATCATAACTACACCAAAACAGTTTTAATTTCACTACACATTACCATCCAGTACGTTTAGTTTCATTTGGGCTGCTCATGAGTCATAATATGACAGAAATGTATTAGGTGTGTAGTTGGATTTTGATGTAGCAGAGTTGTTAAAAATTGTGTAAATGACTTGGCAAGTTTCACTTAATGAAAAACCTCACAAACGAAAGTGAAAACAAAAGTCTATATAATGAAGCCTGATATGTATGTGTGTATATATATATATATATATCCGAAATGTCGCTTTGAATATTTTACGTTAGCCGTTTTTTTGTTATGCTTTCGTTTAACAGAAAAAAAAGAAACTTATCAACATTTAATAGTTTCAAGTTTTATTTTTAAAGACACAGTTTGAGTATAAATATATATACTAACAAACGTAGGTCGTCCTTCTATAAAAACATTGAATCTGTCACTTTTGTCAAGTCCTCTAGTACATTGTAAGTTTTCTCTTTATTCATTTTTTTAATTCCTTCTCTTCCACCCTTCCAATTTGTCATTCCCTATAAATTATGTCGTACTTCCTTCCCCCTGTTCTTCCTGAACATCTTGTTTTATTAATAGACACATCACGCTGTTAATTCAGCCCCGGACAGCGTCTCGCAGAAACAAACCATTGAGTAGAACGTATTACCGAGGCACAATAACAAACGTTATATAACAACAACCGTCGTACATTGTATTAAAGATAATGATACTCAGTAGGCGAAATTGTATTAAAACTTTTATGAAACAAGGCTTAAAACAGAACAAGCTAATAGTCACAATTATTTAATTGGGGTGAATCCAATTGACTACGTACTTAAAAGTAAACCATTCATTAGTACGACCTTTTATCGTTTTATTGTGATATACAAGCATGTTTAATGTAAGAGAAAAAAAAACATGTATATCAAATTCTTTCTAGAATAAATGGCTGCCACAGTTTTAGTCATTATTTCCACGTCTTAAGCCAGTATTTTATGAAAAAGCACACACACACATACATATATATATATGTTTGTGCTTTTTCATATACAAGATTCATTGAGTTAGCGTCAATTGCCTTTGTTAGTGTATCAAATTGCACTCATGTGCTGGCTAACTTGGTGTATGTATGTACATTATAATCACACACACACTAATAATACAGAGTGGTCCAAAAGTTAGCTACTCCAAAGCATTATAACCGATTCTTTTTTATTTTCATCTTGTTATGAGTAACGTACGGGTATGCTATACGTTTACACTAGACTAGTGTGCCACACAAAAGGACTTAGAAACAATGCTGACTAGTGCCGCAAATATAATCCTACCTACATGGAAGAGATTTGGGTGTTGGGCAACTAACGCGTGGGGTACCCTGTATTTAGGGTCGTCCTTTTCTCAGTGGTTCTAATCGTGATAGATTATACGTTGCACTCTTATTCTCTGGTCAAGAACTAGACATTAAATGGTTTTAAGTGATTTTGATCCAAGAGATCTGGAAACATAAGGCAAAGCATATTTTCTGTATATAGTTCCCATAAAGAGTAGAACGGAGGGGGGGGGAGTATGTGGTCATTGTCGTGCAACAATGTATGTAAATACCATTTCTCTTGGAATAACAGAAAAAATTTATATGCGCAAACAACTGTTGATAATATTCGTAACAATAATATTATATATATCTTCACAACTAGCACTGTGCAACTTACAATTTTGATTAATGGTAGCACGTGAACATTTCAAGGATTGTTTTTGACATTAACAAAACACCCGCACGTGTTGTCAAATTCTCCCTATAAGAAGCATTTTAATTTATTAGGTTTAGGTTTTTTCCCTTACGTTATTAATCACTACACTTAACATAGACAATTTTTATAGCATAAGTTTAATGTACAAGAAGAATGAATCTTCTGTTAAGAACATTTTAAAACAAATAAACTCTCCTTTTGTGTGAGGATGGCGTCTGGCTATTTTGAAAAGGTACGGGAAGGAATTTTAAAACATAGGATATCGATTTGGCTTGTCATTTTCAATGACAAATCATATCCTTCAAACTAATATAATAATTTAACTAATAATTCAATCGCAATATACAATTGGGGTGTAATGTCATAGCACTAAAAGATTGTTTGTTTGGTTTGAATTATGCACAAAGCTACACTATGGGCTATCTGTGCTCTGCCAACCACGGGTTTCGAAACCCGGTTTCTAGCGTTGTAAGTCCGCAGACATACCGCTGTGCCACTGGGGGGCAACACTAAAATAATAAACTAACTTGATTCGATATTTAATGTGAGAACTAAAGATATTCTATACGTTCCAAAAATAAAACAAAATAAGCACACACTTATACTGAAGAATGCGCAGATAATTATATCAGCAAAAGCTATAATATACACTCTTCTTGACAGAACGGAGCTTACTTTAAACAAAAACCCATTAACACAAACTAAGAATCGCATGAAAAATACCACAGTAAAAAAAAAAATGTTTACTTGTAATTATCGTCACAGTTTATCTGGTCATAAGGATCAACTTGTTCTTACATAAAAATAGAGAGCAACTTCTTGAATAGCTCTTGGTCCACACTCCATTCCTTCATCATCGCAGCATCCAGCGTTTCCTGTACATCGGTGCAAGATAGTGCATCCAGGAAGGTATTTTCTTCTGGGATCCGGATAATAGTTCTTGACATTCACTACTTGGGGTCGGGGTGTGTGGCATTTCGCTGTCCGTCTGATTTGAAGAAAATGTTCGTTGGCTCGGCGAATGTCCTGCAATTCTAAAACATTTATTGAATTAGTTGTTTGTCACTTCTCGAGCTCTGTCAGTTGTGTAACTTCACTATCTATTTCAGAATATGTTTTACTACCACTAACTAAGATCCTTGTATTCACACTAGGTGGTGTTGCGAACTTTGAGTTAGTTTCTAAACTACTACTTATATACTGACGTTTCTCATAAAAGCCCGCAGCTCCTAAGCCAGTACGTAGAACAAATTAATTGTGCTTTTCCTGGAGAAGAGCGTAAGAACGGGTGGTAAGTGTCAACCTGTTGTATTACAATGTACGATAATTTCCTGCCTGCTTCTATTTGCTACATTTTCATATTATTTTGTAAAAAAACAAACAAAAAAAAACTTGCCATATTTCATATTCATTTTGTTTGTTGCTAAACACAAAGCTACACAATGGACTATCTGTGTTGTGCCCATCACGGTTATCGAAACCCGGTTTTTAGCGCTACAAGTCTTCGGACTTACCACTGATGGGTCTATTCACTCTTACAGAGAGAGAATCGTTTATCTTTCAATACCTGATGATCGGTGCCATTGTATCAGATGGGCCCAGACGTAAAAGACCAGAAAGGCCCACTGAAAATTATACAATATGTGTTTTAAAAGAAAAACAATAATAAAAAAACAACTGTAAAATGAGATTTGGCAGTCATGACAAAATAATAAAAATTAAATGTTCTTTGTTTTTTATCTCCATGTTCAAGCATGCTTTCGTCTCCTTTCTTAGGGCCATCTTCAAACTAACTGATAATAAGAACAAAAGTTTTAGAAATACCGAGTGCACATGAATAACGTGTTTAGAAAAGTTATGTTACTCATCTGTAACTAAAGTAATAGCGAAGCACACTGTAATATACAGAAGTACCGTATTTGAGAAACACGTGTTCCGACAATATTCTATAAATAGAGACAAACAGATTTTGAATAGAGGAGTTAAAAGTCTACTCAGTACTGAGCGTGAATGTGAAAACCTTCACTGAGTTTATTACCTTCTATCATTAATTTACCCTCGTTAGGAACTCAACACAAAATATTTGGCAGTGTTATGTTAGAACTTAAAAATGATCCCGACTAGGCAAGGAACTTAAACAAAGAAATATAAATACATTAGTTGCACCCAACCCGCCGACCTTACTACTTTTTGCTTTTGAGATGGCAAATAATAGAAGTTTCAAGTAATGAATCATAACCATTTAAAAATGTTCATATAATTGATGATAAATGGTTAGGTGAAAGAGGAAAGGCATGAAATAAAGGAAATAATACCATTCTGCCTATGTGAGTGAAGTGTTACTGGGTAAAGGATCCTTCCAGGGGAATCTTGCGCCAGGCCCTTGCTACACCACGCTGTCAGCTGTCATCAGTCGCAGAAGATGGGGGGGGGGGGCTGTGCCAAATCTGAGCAACATTTAAATTTATCATGAATAATCTGTCAAAATAAAGTTATGATTAAATGTAAAATGAGCGTTTCTTTGTAGCTTGTCACAGTCTGTTAACAGGATACGTCTATTGAAGCGGCCTGGGAATTACCTTCCTTTGTGACGTCACGCTTTGGTACAAGTTTTTTTTGTAAGCTACCAATCTGAGGAACTCCTACGCACTGCAAGAAGAAACAGTGGCCTGTCGTTCAGAGTCTATATTATTGAAAGCATAAAATGAAAACCGAGTCTCTTATATTACACCAATGCAAAAATACACCAATGATAACATACCAGACAAAATGTACTTTATCTCATACGTCACTGTGATGTGAATTATTTAAATATGTAATGAGATACCAGAACAAGTAAACACTTGATAAGTTCCTTTTTTTTCTAGAATCACGTGAGAAGTATCCTCCACCTTGCATAGTTGTGCAGCAACTAATAATCGAAACTGTTTTATTTTATTTTTAGTCCGCCCAGATTTTATGTTATATTTTTTGCAGTTCTGTCTTGTCTCTTGAAAGAGTCGTTTGTTATTTGAATAAGGATTTTTTTTGTAAATCTTCTATATGACAGAAAAAAATAACCAGAAAACACTTGGAAACAAAATTGTTCAAAATAAAGTACAAATTATAAAAAAGAATCCTCAATAGCCGCGGCACTGGAAATGCTTTTAGGCAGAATTAGAGTAAATTAATCTCAGTTCTTTTTTTTTTTTTTCCTTTCTATTAGCTATATTTTTGTGCGCCAACAATACCAAGCGTGGGGCGCGCATATACCCGTTTCGATTTTATTATTCATGAGAATCTCTACCAGCCTATCTTTAAATTTAAATTATTTTTAGGCAGGATTAGAGTAAATTAATCTATGCGACTTTGGGCAAGGTCAAATACATCAATCGAAAGGGTTTGACCTTCCGAGTCCAAAACTAATTTTATTTCAAATTGGTCATGAGATTACGGAGCTATGAGCCAAAAGTTTGTACTTGAAAAAACAGAGAAAAAACTCGGAGCCATTCTATGAGCTGCTATGCCGCGGCTAAAAACGTACAGTCAAAATCAGCACGAGTAACGCAATCCAGGTGTTAAATTGTAACAGCAAAAGCTCCCTAGTCTTCGATGTGCGGAATGTTAATCTGGGTATTAGTTGCTGCAAAAAATGCACTTCTCATTTGGGGCCAGGAGTACTTTATACGAGTGGCTGTTAAATCCCACTATTTGATCAGACAAGAGCAGCCCTAGGGTTAGCTGTGGGTATTGTTGACCAGCTGCCTTCCTTCTAGTACACCAGTCCAAAATAAGATAGCTCTTGTATAACTTTGCGTAAAATTTCGAAACAATCTTTGACTGTGTACACGAAAGTGACCGTTGCACCTCCATGTGCTGAAAACTTCAGTGAGAAATAGCAGTACATCGTTTTAAACAGTTATTTAAACATTATTTCGTATCACGTGTTATTGATGCTTCATAAGCTGTTCAAAATAGTGTTTCTTTATACTGCCATATTTATTCGACGGTCATTTCGCAAATGCCTTTAATTTTGAATGAGATGGTTTGGTTCGTTTGTTCTGAATTTCGCGCATAGCTACATGAGGGCTATCTGCGCTAGCCGTCCCTAATTTAGCAGTGAAAGACTAGAGGGAAGGCAGCTAGTCATCACCGCTCACCGCCAACTCTTGGTCTTCTCTTTTACCAACGAATAGGGGGATTGACCGTCAAATTATAACGCCCCCACGGATGAAAGGTCGAGCACGTTTTGTGAGACGGGTTGAAGAGGATGAGCATAACATCTTAAACAGTGTGCTATGTTACGTTCATTATTCAGTCTGAATCACTATGTTTTCAATGTATAATTCATTAAAGTATCTGTATATTAAACGATCCTAAGGTTATGTAAAATAATATACGAAAGTATTCCAACACTATTCAATTATTCTCTGTTTCAAACATTGTTAACAAGACGTGTATTATTAAAAGTTCATAAAGGGATTCGAGCTAGGACAAAAATAACTCAATAGAAATTTGGTTTCCGTGTTAAGTATTTCCTCATCTGGAGCCGAAGACTCGCTTAATAAATTTGAAACATGAAGATCCAAACCTAAATATGTTTTATCTTTATTGTATCCACATTATTATTTTAAAACAGAACGTACTTCGAGATAGTTGCAATACTACACAATAAAATTTAATGATGCATGTGTCCATAAATAAAGTTTTACTTCAATAGGACGTTTCGAGCAAATGCCCTTCATCAGGCCTAACAACAATACAATTTGCAAGACAGTTAAATTACGAAACATACTTGTGGGAGAGAGTTTTGTTTTTGTTTTCCATAAAAAGTCTCATATGATCGCATTATTATATATTAATAGTAAACTAATTGAGTAGTGAAACACGTGGGAGAGAGAGAGACTAGAGAAGCATGTACAGTAAATATCGGAAGGACAAGACTACTGATAACACGTGATATTGCATCACAATAGGACAGGATATATGTTCAATCATATTATTCGTAACTGACTCAGCTGAACCCTATAAGACTGTATGTCCCATAAATGACTGGTGTAAATAATTTCAACTAAGATATTTTTTAACAATTAATATTAACAAATACAGCGTAAAAACCGTGTGAGGGGTGATAGAATAATGAAAACTGATGCCAAAAATATGATGAATATTTTTTTCATTGCTCTCTACCCGATCATTGTAATTTTTTTCTTTATAACATGAAATAATCCAAGCTGCCTGTACATACTGGAGATGGTGGAAGGTTTGAAAACTATTTGATATTGTTTGCACTTTTGTAGAGAAGTATTTAGTTGCACTATATATATCCATACTGTTATATTAAAATACCTAAAAAAGAAATTAAAGCATGAAAATTTTGTGTTCCGCTACTCAATTAGTTTACTATTAATATATAATTACATGAGACTTTTTATGGAAACCAAAAAACAATACATTTTATCAAAATAAATTATTTGGAAAAATATTGAAGCTATACTCATAGTTAATAGAACAATACTGTGTTCGAAAAGACAAAAAAGAAAGTGTGGTTGTAAGGATATTAATATAATATACAATTCTTACTGACAACCCGTACCGACCAGTAAAGGACGGTATGATTAGAACTGTGTTGTCAGTCTTATTGGGATGTAACAGATAATGTTTCGTTAGCGTAACTGTTACACGAGACTTTATGTTAGTGGATGAATGGTTGTTCATTTACTTAAAGCGTAAGGCTATGCAATGGTTATATTTGCTGCGTTCGTCATGAGGAATTAAACCACGAACTTTAGCGTTATAAGCACTCCAGCTCGATGGTGATCAACGCATGAATGGAGCCTGATATTAGGACAGGTATTGTTAAGGGCTGCTTGGTTTAAGCAATGATAATAAAGTTAAATACTTAAAAGAAATGCTACATTTAAGACAGAATAACAAACAAAAGAAAAATAATTACAACGAAGTAGAAAAGTCGAGCACAAAAATGAAACAAAGGTACAATTTTGATGACCATTAAAAAAAAGCTACAGAAAGATTCAAGCACAAGCCATAGGTCAAACTTCATTTAAGGGTTGTTCAAATGTTCACGATGTACGTAAACGTTTCCCAGTTTTCTATATAACGCTATGATTAGAAGTTACCTGTTATCTGTGATGTTCAAACTTCATTTAGATTTTATTGTAATTCAGTAAACTGTAGGCCCATTTAATCTGCTGTGAATGGACATCATAATCTTAGTAACAATAACTCGACTGCGACACAATAGATTTGTGACACAATAAAACAACTTTACAACTATTCTCAGTTGAATTCGGTGTCCGAAACATGAATTTTAAATCATTTTTTTAATTTATTCAAATAAAGGCAGTACTTAGTTTTTGTGTAACTTAACGAATACTTGAGTACTGAACTCATTTTACGCTTGAAAAACGACTTAACCTCCAGCAAAAAACTGTATTTATCCAACATTTGGACTTGTTGCCTTCATCGGAGTAAAGCGCTTAACAGCAACAGGAACTTGATGTTGTTATTGCTCTAAACCAGTTTACCGAAAAGAAAGAGGAAGCCTTAACATTGGATAAACGAAAAACCTTAAAATAAACTAGTTGATAAGGGAGCAACTAAAATTTGAAGGTGGCCGATAACGGAGGTGAAAATTTGATAGTTCTTTCGCCTGTATATTTTCTCATGTTTGCATTGCTGAAAAAGAACGAGTTGAGTAACACAAACGAACGAAAGACAGGACGTGAAAAGCTTTTTGATAACGTAATTCTAACCTTCTTATTGAAATTGGTAAGTAGGGAGTAACTGTACGAGTTATATTTTTAGTGATTTTCTAACATATAAATAGCCTATTGTTGTAGGCACTGTTAGGAATTGGGTGAAAAATGTTGTTTTTTTTTAAGTTTTCGGTGTTCACTGAAGGATGAAAACCATTTTCAATGAAGGCGACAAACAAAAGTTGTTTGTCGTCTTTATTGAAAATGTGTAAAAAAAATGTCAGATTGGCGGGGAAAGGAGGGGGTGACCAAGGGGGCTTAGGTTAGAAAACGTTAAAAACAGCTGTTTTAGAAGAATAAGAGCAGCCAAGTGTCATCTGGTGTGATGTATATAAAGTTTGTTTTTGCGTCAGTTAAGTCATTTTTTGTTGTTAAATGCATTACTTACTTTGATGAATGCCAAAGTCGACTGTGGCGCGATGAAGACCCGTTGGTCCGTAATTCCTCTTAAGGTAAGTCACTCCTTCTTGAGTACCATAGTAATGCCGGGAAAACTGCTGATGCGAAGAAGCCGGTTCTATTTCATCCCGCCCCGGAGGCTGGTAGAAGTATTGATCAGAGCTGTACTATTTGGAAAGAAGTGGCGTCATTATTATCCCACGTAGTCGGTAGATGAAGAAAACAAAGTAGTTGAGTGTGTTAAACATTCGATAAATGACGGGTTGTAACCAATTGCAATATTAACGGAAAAGTTAAAAATTCTTAGCAACATGTATAGAGTATTCAAATTGTTTTAAATTCATTATGTTCATAAAGAATAACTAAATCAAGTATGCCCACGTAGAAATAATTTAACCAAATAAATTAACATCCTTTAGAATATTATTCTGAGTTACCTACAGAAATAGTTTTAAAAAAGGTTCCAATAATTTCTCATCAACTGTACCATTCCACTATGACGTCATCAGTTTAGTCACTTTATATTGTAAGTATTCTAAAATAAAAAGCAATTCTTGGCCGCCATATATACATCCTCCAACTGACGCTCTAGAATTGCTAGAGCCCAACAACTGACGATCTGCAACAGCCTGGGTACATCTTTTGACATTACTCAACAGCCCGATCCACCAACTGACGTTCTACAACAGACGGAAACCACCAGTTGACGCTCTGCAACAGACCGAGTCCATCAGCTGATGCTCTAGAACAACCCCAATCCATCACCCAAACACTACAGCAGCCCGTGTCCATCAGCTGATGCTTTGTCAGAGTATACATTGAAAATCATATTGAAAGGACCTGGTCAATTTTTGGGTTTTGGGTTTCTTGTTTCAATAAATATTAAGCACGGGCACACACACGTGCAAAAGACTAATCAAATATTAACCTTGTCTAAATATTTAAGAACACAACATAGAATTGCAAACAACTGTCCAATTTGATAAAGATTCATTTGTAATTCAATACGTCGGAGAATTAACTTCAACAATTCTTCATATTTTGTGGGAGTACAGAAAGTTGAATACGTTATAAAACGCTTTCGAATATGCAAACACGCAACTCCCGTGACAATCAGAATCGATATATAGTTGCAGTGGAATGGCATGTATCAGAACTACATTTTTATGTTGTGTAGCTAGTGATAACATCGAAAATTGATCGCTTTTGGAAAAGGTATTCAGATCATAAAGATATGCTAAGATCAGGGATTTCGAGCCTCCAAGACGAGGATACCTTTTGTAGTTAACAGCATTTAAAAGCAAAGGAACACAGATCAACTTGGAGCAACAAGCTGATCCAGAAAGAGACCTGCAACAAGTAGTGCCCCAGCCGTGATAAGCAAAGTGTGACGTCTTGTAACATGTAAAAATCCACAAACATAATGGTCAGTGACAAAAGCCATCTATGTGTCAAGCAACAGTATGCAACATAATCAAGAAGCATCTCCGTCTTGAAAAACGACCAAGATCACGTGTACACAAACTGCTTTCGCAACATATCTAGTCGATTGTCACATTTCTCAAGCAGCTGAAGAATTAAATGAGTATTCATGCTATTCCATATGAAGACATATTGGATTTCTGTGAGATCGAACTTTCACAACGGACGCTTGGAAACAGTCGTCCTCGTACACTAAAGGGCTTATGGAAAGCATGCAGAAATAAGAGGTGTGTATTACAAATGACAGCTTTACGACGGATCTTTTTGCAATGGAAATTATGGGGTACTAACAAGATGCACGTCGTCAAACAAAACATGATCGGACGAGGCAAAATGAGCTGCATCAACGTGATGAAGCTCCAAAATCGTTTTAATAACACATGCTCAACGTTTACATAAAGTCCTATGTTACTTAATATAAGATATTAATAGAAGTTTCAACATTTGTATTCTAGATTATAGTTGATTTTGTGCATACATGACCGACAAGGAGTGGGCAAGAGTCATGGAATGTATATTTTGAACAAAATACATTATGGGTCACTATGTTATTGGTATAGGTTTTTTTTCAAACAAGCAAATTATAATTTTTTATGATTTGTAAACAATTAATGAAAATGAAACTTGTCTTTTTCAGATAGTCATAACCCACCACGCTGTGAATAAAGAAGTGATCCGAAATGGACCATTGGCATGCCGCGCCCACACTCCCAATTAAACCAAATAAACGTAACACCTTCACTGTATTTGTTGGTACCACAACTGTTCTCTGACAGATAATTTATTTTAAACACGATAGTCCCCTTGTGGGAAGTCTACGGGCTTACAACACTAAAATCCGTGGTTTGATTCCTCGCTGTGGACAAAACGCAGATAACCTAATGTATGGCTTTGCGCTAAAACAAACTAACATAAATGCACAATTTTATGTTTCAACAAATTTTCGTTTATTTTACAAGCGTGTCTATTTGCTTACTGTAATCGCTGTGCCACCGGCGTTACCGCTAATCAGTTTTTTTGCTGCCAAATATTTTATACAATAACTTTTTAAATGAATTACAAATTGAATTATTTTGTATGGTAATTTTCTAAACACTTTTATTGTCACGAGTTATAGGTTTTTTGGTCAATTTTCCAATAGTGAAACAGAAGTATTGAATTAGCCTCTATACCCAAACTTCTCGTTTCTTAAGAAATGTGGGAGTAACCTATGTAACTTATGCGTTGTATCCAAGTGTCGAGTTACTGAAATAATATCTGTAGCCAGACTTCACTGGTAAAGTGTAATTCTCCGAAGTTTCAGCTGCATTTAGGTCCCGAAAACCTCGGACCTTCCACACACAGATCGCCATGCTAACCAATTAGCCACTCCTGCGAGTAACCCATGTAAAGTGTAAAGTCGAATGTAACGGCACCATGTTATGGCTAAACTAAAAGAATACATACACTTTCTAAGAACTGGAGAAACTTCTTCAATCACTAAAAATATTTTGTTTATAGCTAGTAGATAAGATTAAAGTATCAATCCTCCCTCTGTCGGCAACAAACAGAAGTGAGACAATTTCATTTCGTTAAGTCTCAACCAACGTGCATTAGCCAGCATACTACTGAAGTATGAGGGGTGTCGAAAAGTCCGTGACCTGACCTATAAAGAAAAGAGATACTAGTTCAATTATGATTTATTTTTCAACACAGAATCTCCTCCTGAATCTATAGAATTGCGCCAGCTGTGCTCCAAGACCTTTATGTCCTTCTGAAAGAACTCTTCTTCTTGTCCTCAATCCGTGAATGGACAGTATACACGAGATCATCATCACTCTTATATATTTAACCTCATGAATAATTTGAGATTAGGGAAGAGAAAAAAGTCACGTGGGGCTAAATCCTGTGAGTAGGAGATGGGGGTGGGGTGACTGAGTTAATTCGAAGGCAGCATCATGGATAGCGTTCAAAACAACACGCGATTTGTGAGCTGGGGCATTGTCCTGATGGAAGACAGGCTTTTTTGAGCAATCTTCTTATTTTCTCTTTGTTGAGCAAGAATGTATTGTAATCCCTTGTAACAGTTTGACCTCCTTCCAAATAATAAACTAGTAAAACGCCCTTGGCATCTCCAAAAATTGATACCATGACCTTCTCAGCAGAGGTTTGTGACTTGAACTACTTTAAGGTGGATGAACTTTGGTGTTTCCGTTGCAAATTTTGTATGTTTGTCTCCGGGTCGAAATGGTAAACCCACGTTTCATCTATGGTTACGAATTTATTGAAAACGTTGGAGTAGGCGTTGGCTTTCAACAACTCGGATCCGTTTCTGCTCAGATGTCAACATTTTTGGAAACTATCTGGCACTAACCTTACTCATACCCAAACTGTCACTCAAAATGCTTGATACAGTATTCTTATCGATTGCTACTTCCTCTTCAAACTTCCTAATGGTAAATCTCCTACCATATATAACCAAATCATGAACTTCATCTACAATCTCTATTGTGGTCGATGTTGAGGGACGACCTGACCTCAGATCATCTTCACATGATTGTTTACAGCTCTTAAAATCAACACACTACTTTGTCACTGTTGAATATGCCGGAGCGCTCTCTCCTAACGTTGCTTCCATGTCTTTTCTTTTTAACAAAATATTTGATCACGAAACGAAGTTCGATCTTCTCCGTGACATTTAACACTGCTCACTTCTTTCCTTCAAACCCAGATCGTTAAGTTACATGTTACTTGTTGTTTACTGATAAAAATGTTCAAAACTTAATGCTTATCAGAGAAAATCATACATTCCACTTCTTTTTTAGGTCGAGCCACGAACTTCTCGGACACCCCTTGTATAACAAGTTATTTGGTCGTAAGTTGTGGCGGCCAAACTAGTAGCTACACTTATAGCATTAATAAGAAATTTACAGCAAATATTCATTCATTAGTTAGCTAGGCCGCGCATTTTGTTTTACCCATCATCATGCCCAAAGTTCAACTTATCAATGCTATAAGTTTATGGCCGCACATTTTTTCACACCTAAGGTGTTGTTGATTAGATATCGTGACATTTTGTCGATACACACCACAAACCACAACAAGTAAGAAAGTGACACTCGAGAGTAACCAACATTAATCGCAACCCTATTATATGGCACAGATGTACATTTTACAGAACCAACCAGATTCTTTAAAATATATGGTGGTAGTTTTTCAAAAACTGTTAATTAATTACTTCCTTTATAGTAACGCCATGGAATCTAGATTAACAGTTTCTTGTCATCACCCGCGTGCACTCTGTTAGCCGTATCAAACATCATTATTTACACTAATTACTTAAGTTAATATTATGTGACAGTAAACGCTCTTTAATTAGTAGAATTTCATAAAATTTTACATATTTATTCTTAAAAGTTTTCAATAATAATGAATATTAAGCGTCCACACATATGATTCTTTTGAAAACTTGAGCTAGAAACTGTTAATCTACTTTGCTTGGTCTAACCAATACTTATGTATCCGCACGTCCTTTCACCCCATAGTTTTGGTACTCTAAGTCAGCCGTCTTTAAACCGAATGGCAAAAAGTCAAAATCGGTCCACTTTTACTCTTAAGTGAAGCTGTAGTAAAACTTTTAGAGCGATAGCTCACGGGACTCTTTGCGTAGTCGTGCACAAAAATTTTGGTCAAATCTGAGCAGTTTTTGCTGAATAACTTTGCACATGTAGCTTATATTTAGACCAAATTTTACACCTAATTGTAGGTTGTAAAAGTCTATCAGTTGACGAAATTTGAAAAAAAACAACAACATAAAAGTATGTTTTTCTATCAAATAAAGTCCCCGTACTTTCGGTGCGAAGAGAAAGAAAAGAAAAGGAAAAAATGCAATCGAAATTTGAAATTTTATGTATCGTGTATTTCTTAATGGATTACTTTGATATTTGAAGTAAAGGTCTAATAAAGTACATCTACTGAAAATATGTGACAGTTTGAATTACCATAGTCAGAACTATTGAAGTTGTGTCCTGCAAGTTGTTTTCGCCGCACGACACAATACTGTCGTATTGTTACTAACCAAAAACATTATCATTAAAATAGGTTTAATTAACGATACATTTCAAATAAATACAGTCGTTCTTTCCTAAGGACCTCCAGACAAATGTCATCACGAAAATATTAAAGTCACGTAAATAAAAACAGAAAAAATCTTCAGGAAAATGTCTCTCATATGCATGAGCGAGTCGGTATTGCTAAGGAAGAATTCAATTGTCCTCTGTGAATCGCGTTTGTTGCTAAGGCAAAATTCAATTGTTCTCTGTGAATCATGTTTATAGTTTTTGCTTTTTCTGCATCGACAAAACTGATCCTGTATAGTGAGTATAAAAGTTAGTATAATATAAGATTATTATTCTGATTCTCGGAAGTCACCATTTTTTATTACCTAAATGTTTTTAGATCTTCATAGTAACTTTTTAATGCAACGAGTATGGTACACGATGGCACAATGTCGTTTTCATCACGTGACGACTGGCTTTGATTTCAACTTTAGTTTTTTTTTATTTGCAAAGTATTGCACACAAATAACATTTAACCCACATATAATTTCCTAAAAAACATAACATTACACTAAATACAATTTCTATGGGCTTCTTTCTAGACTTATTTAGGTCCAAAATACGCATGCGCAGTTCGTTCAAAACTATATGCTTATCACTTTGTGAACACGTATTCAGACATTTCTGCATATTAACATAAGTTGTATTCATTACAACTTCACATTTACTTTACTTTGCAATAATTTGGCTTCGGTTCGTGCTGTAAACACCTTTTAGCTACTTTTTCTTTACTACGGGTTTTATTCTTCATTTTTGTGAGTTTCTTTATTTCAACTCGTAAAACCGTGTCATACACTGTATACTCATACTCATGACTGTTTCATACTCTGTACACTATTATAAATACCATTACTTTACGTGTAGTTTTATTAAATGAAGTTATGTCTACGAGAGTTTGTTTGTCTAACAGCTTATTTTTTTTTTTCAAATAGACCAGGATTTTTCAAGCTAACACATAATGCCTGCAAAAAAGTGTAGCTTAAATGGCGTGCGTGGAAATGATAGAATAAAAAATATTCAAGTAAAGAACATGAAAACTACCGGAAATGTTTTGCTAGTCGTGGATGGTATTCTAATTTGGACTTTAGTTAAATGCGTTTCCATGAATCATTTATTCGACATGACGAAAATTAACACAAGAATCTTATTTGTGTGTGCGCATAATTTTGGTAAAATAGGGCTTGGCGCGAAAATAGGATCTTACAACATTTGCTTTAATGAATAGTACGAATTATAAAGAAACTGTTTTTCTTTAGTAAAACGAAAATCAGGTTCCACCGAGATTTGAACTCGGATCGCTGGATTCAGAGTCCAGAGTGCTAACCATTACACCATGGAACCATTGGATGTAATCTATTCTATTTAATAATTTAAATAATATAATTTAATATTTATATAATTTCTTTAAGTTAATTTTTTAATAAACATTTTTATTAAAAGTTCACTATTTTACTCTGTTTTAATTTCTTCAATTGCTTTTGGAACCAATAAAATACTTACACATTCACGCCTCTCTCGGTGTCTACTTTAGACGTAACTCGACGAAACTACTAGCACCACCTACTGGATATTGTTGGCTTAAATAAACAAATCTCTGCACATCTAGGAAATTCGAAAAGCTTGTCGACTGTTTACAAGCTGAGCTCGTGATGCTTATAGTTTGTTAGCCCTCAACAATTTTATATTCAAATAAAATATAAAACGAAATGCAGGAATTTTAAGATATTTTCGTAATTTAAAGTGATGTTGCTTTCTCTCATTATGCTTCAAGACTTGTGTTCAAAAGTGATTACATAAGAAATCCTTTTTAATGAGAACTGGAAACGATTTTCCTGTAAGTCAAGAACAATTTGAGGTGAGTAAAAGAGAGTCATTGACCTTGGATTTGAAAGTTGAGATCATTGTGATCGAAATATAAGGAACTATATTTTGTACATTGTTTTATATTTTTAATTGCCGTTTATATTGAGCATAGAAGTTAGGTTAAAACGTCATGTAGCTGTTATCAACCAAAAATGAAATACTCAGATAATAAAAATCAATCGCTCACGTTAATAATGATAATAGTAATAGTAAATCATATCTGGACCCACAAGTACTCCATCTTTGATATTTTTCACTATTTGAAATTTATAAGAAATTGTATACAATGAACATTGTTTTATTCGATATCTTGAAATAGTTTTAATACATATATCATTTCAGTAACGTCATATCTTTTAAAAAAATGAATGTAGAAATGTAAAATGACTATCAACCAAATAAAGCGTAAAATTACAAAAGAATTAAGCGTTAGTAGTGAAGCAGGCAGCTGTACTTATTTTCCCCAGTTCATGGGAGTATTTACCTCTATAATGGCAAAAAAAACTTATCTTTCGTGCAAACATATGATTATTTATACCTTTGAGATCGTTTTTATACTGTACTCTATGAAAATTAAAACGTGTGATAGTTGGTGATTTCGCGTTTTGATTTATTGTTGCCTTCCAACATCCTACCATTACAGTAGAGATGACTCCTCATAGATTGTTACCAGCTTTATATGTGTGTGTATAATTTCATTCTTACAGACCCAGAACCACTACTTAAAAGTGCTTTAGCTAGTCTTTAAATATTAAACTTGTTTTCTTTAATGCGCAGTTTTGTACAAACGTTGAATGTAGTTTTTACTTATCCATCTTAATTGTTATTTCCCACAGTTATGCTGGATCCTATGTTAATTCACCTTGTGTATGTGTTTGTTTTAGAGCAAACCCACAATAGACTATCTGTTGTTCACCGTGGGGAATCAAATCCCGAATTCTAGCGTTATAAGTATGTAAGCTTACCACTGTCCCACCGGAGAACCTCCTTGTGTGTTTGTGAATTTGTTTGTCCGCAAAACCCTCCCCAATTTTGTCCAATCAAGACCAAGTTTGGCAAGCAAATTCGGTGTGGATGGGGGTTCTTATCAATATGACGTAACTCCCTAAAGGGATTTACCATAGGGAACTAAAACGTGCCCAGGAGGTCACCCAGGTAAAATGGTGATCTAGGAAAGACTTGCAGGGTCGCTAGACTCGAATATGGCATCGAATTTTGAATACTTACCCCTTCCCCGGGATTCAGGAGACGTCATTATGAAACTGTACCCATACCCTAATCACAAGTTAGTGGGGCCAATTTTTGCACAAGTGCTCAGATGCCACGGGCATTTGTCTTAGCAGGCTTTTTTTTTTCCTTTTCGGTTACAAACACACATATCCCCATGGGATAGCTATGTAAATGGGGTATAATGAAGGAGCTTGATTGGTATATTGGGGCCTTTTAACCCCGCAGTGGAGCGTGAGGATTCTATGTTAGGATAGGTAGAGATAAAATAGCATTTTTAATTACCTGTGTATGAGCTATAAACGTGATTAAAATTGGGCTATCTGCTTTGTCCACCGAGGGGGAATGGAGCCTCTGACTATAGCGTTGTAAATCCCAAGACTTACCGCTGTCCCACCGGAGGACTACTTTTGTGAATTAGTTTCGGATTTCATTTACAAAATGTAATGAATAGTTAGACTTTGTGCAATCTAAGAAATTACGAAGTTACCAATTTCAGTGTCAATGTAATGAGCTGAAATAACCGCCCTATAGATAACGGAAATGTTGAAAGCGATTTGCACTACTAAATCGTCAGAATATGAATTCGCTTACAATTCCAAAAGAATAGTTTCACGAAAAAAAAAAACTTTTTTTTTTTAAGAAATCGTCATTCTCAAAAGTTCACTTTAGTTACTATTATCAAATTCTTTAATTTCATTTAAAAAAACCATCTCGTATAATTTTCACTGTATTAAACCATAATAAGGACGTTTATTTTTAAATTCTAGATTTTTCGTGGAAAATAACCACAATATTTTATCAGTCTTCCACCTGAAAAACAACCTTATAAAGCTAACAACTAAAATTTTCTCTTTCCAGGCCTCTTAGTTGCCCAAACATCTTAGGTGGTCTCATTTACAGCTTGTTTTTATCTTACTGCTCTCTTAAACCATATGACACATTTTTGGCTATTTTTCCTTTCCTTTATTTTATGGGGGGGGGGGGGCATACTGTTGTTATTGTTAGAAACGTTTTGCCGTTTATTCAAAACGAGTCAAATTTTGACAGCTAGCTCACTCTTTAGTTATTGACCGTCGATTCCTGGTATATTATTTATAATCGTAAGCATCTTTTCAAATATCGTTAACAGAGAGCCACTATTTTATACACAAATGGCTTTATAGCCACTGTTTTTTTTTGTTTTGTTGTTGGTGGTGGTGTTGTACGCTTCTATGTGAAAGTTTTGATACACGCTGTCAGACCTAATTGGAGTTGAGAGGTCGTTGAACCGTATGGTTTTTGAGACTATGGTGAAACTAGTTTTGAAAGCTGCGGGCTGTAATATTCATACTGCTTCTATGACCTGTAGAAGAATGTTTTGGGATACATAAATGTCATCCACCAACGACGACCTCGACCATGAACTGCAAGAAGTACCTGATAATAAAGATTGCAATTTAGTATTTTTTTCACAAATGGCATAACATTTCTACTAAGGGACACGAAACAGTCAACATAGCCTGTTTCTCGGGTCAATGCGCCCTTACCATATCAACCGAGAAAAAGTAGGTCTGTACGCATGCTCTTGGATACGTTTCTATTTTCTATATACAAGCTACACAAACGATTGATAGTGTGGTACATAACTGATTATTTGATGGCTTTATATAACATATTGTAAATTTCATCCAAATGTTATTAATGGAAAGATTATACTTATATATATGCATGTCAGTGTGTGTGTAGATTCATATTGGTCTATAGTCGTATACAACTGGTTTATCAAGCATAAAAAAGACAACTTCAGATTGTTTCCATTATTTAACATTTATGTCTTTTTATTAGTTTAGCACAAATCTACTCAATGGGCTATCTGTACTATGCCCACCACATGGAATCGAACTCCGGATTTTAGCGTTGTAAGACCGTAAACTTACTGCAACATTTATATGACGACCAAGCTGCCTAACACTAAACAAAGGCTATATGTATAGAGTAGCTATGAGTGTTAAGAGAGCAAAAAAAAAAAAAGTAAGTAAGAAAACGAAACAAATACACACTGGTTTTATTTAGTGACGCAAAAAAAGAAAAGGGGGATATTAAAGAAGTAAACATTAAAAAATTAATATCGTAAATTTGGCTTATCACGCAAGTTTCGTAGTTGTATCAGATTACTAACTAGATTGAACTAATAAGATTGCAAAACGTTTCTATATAGTGAACAAAATTAAACACAGGTGTTTAAAAGGGGCAAAGGATAATATTACATTTTCTATACTTCAAAGAGCAGGCTTTAAAATTCGTTTAGGCCCGGTGGTTAGGGCGCTCAACTCGCAAGCTGCAGGTTGGAATCCCATCACCGAATATGTTCGCCCTTTCAGGCGTGGAGGCGTTTATAATGTGACGGTCACGCCCACTATTCTTTGATGAAAGAGTAGCACAAGAGTTGGCGGTGGGTGATGTTGACTAGCTGCCTTCCCACTAGTCTATCACTTCTAAATTAAGGACGGCTACTACAGATGACTCTCTAGTAGTTGAACGCGAAATTAAGCAAACAAACAAACAAAATTATTGAATTACAATACAGTTTTAATCTCGCGAACTTACGAAACTTCTTCAGTCGTATAAGGGTTGGAAAAAGTAGAATAATGTTTATGAACATTGGTTATAAAATGTCTATGTACTTTAAAACGTCATAATTTACAAAAACCGTTTCAGAATAAACACTACACTTATAATCTTGGTTTACTTCTTGGGATGAAATTTAGTCAAATTTGAACAATACTATATGTTTAAAATTCGTCATTTATGCAACCGATTGTGAAATATTTTAATACTCAAACTCGGTATGAAAGTTCAATACCAAGTTTGAATATTAAATCTTTTTAAAATCGGCTGCAGAAATGGTGAATTTTAAAGATCATTGAAAGTTAGACTTGCAAATATTATGGATCCCAAGAAAATTATATAAATACGTATAACGCCTGTAGCTCCAAATCCAATATTTAACAAATATTCAATGGGTCGTTTAATGGTAAATAATAATACTTTTCTTTTGAGTAAAGTATAACAACGTCATTTGTAAATTAAAATTTTCATCTTAAATTTATTTTTTTTAATTAGCAAATTAGGCCTTGACATAAAGAAATGTCATTTCATGCATATTTGAAATTTGACAGTGGCTGAAATAAGAACATAATACTTATAATTCGACACGTTAAATTCTACACTAATATATAACTTTACTGTCTGATGGAGACTTATGCATAACCATGCATAATTTAGAAGATTATATAATAGTACTAATTAATAATTAATCGAGCGTCCAATTTCTAAATACCTTATTTTTCTAATTCCACTTCATCAACGTTAAAGCCTCAAATAATACCCGATTTTCCCATAGAACTTATTATTACACGGCAAGTTTTGTTGACCAGTAATGTAGAATAACGTTTGAAATTGATTTTACATATATTTCTTTTTGCCAAATTTATACTACAGCAATTTACTTTGAAAATAAAATACATCTCCTCTACAGTCACCATTTCAAATATATGCTTCAGCGCAACCTCACAGAAAATTTTCAGTGGGAAATTATCACGTGCAATAAATATGTAAATATGTTCTAATTACTTAAAATGAAGATAACATAATACGATTTTGACACATGGTTTTACAAACTTTTTAATATCGCAATTAGTAAATAGTTATATACATTACAGTCCTACATGCAAGGCTCAAAATGCGATGAGAACGAGAAAAATTTAGATTGAATGGAGGTAA